AAGGAACAGACTGGCGATTATGTCAATCTCGACCTTCCACTGCGCAACCGCGACGCTCTTGAGCCTGCACCCACAACGGGTATGGCCACCACGAAGGCCCCTATTATTGAACTTCCAGAAGCTAGTAACGGCGGAAATGGTCTTGACGATCCACGCAAACGGAAGTCTGTAGGGCAGGTATTCAAAGACATTTGGACAAAGCTTCGGTAATTGCCTGCTGATCAGAGGCGCTCTTACAAGATAGAAGATTGAATATGTGTGGTAAAGGGAAAAACATCGTATCTAAAGAAGCTGTGATCGGATTTCGCACAGTCAAACAGTGTTTGACTTAACTTGACGCTCATCGTTGAATTGGCCTGGAGGTAAGTAATATCCCCCAACAACACTCAATGTGCAATTATCAACCTTACCTATACTTCAGAAGCTGTACGTCGCGAATCCGAGAAGTAAATCTGATTTTATGTGAAGCACCAAACACGCTGCGTGCACTCTTCGTATACATCTCCAGATCTCCATTATCTGTGATACCTCGGATCCCGTCAAGAACAGCACTCCCTTCCAATCACTGCGTAGAGCACTAGCTGAAGAGCAATAACATCACTTAAGCCCCCAATCGATCATGTTACAATCAAACATACACTGCGAGCAGCACATTGCCACACGCAAGACACCGTGCCACGTGAAGAAGGTGAATTCAAGTGTCAACACAGTCTAGGCTCTACAAACTACATGCTTAATCTGCTAGCTAAGTGTGAATCTCTACATTATCAAGTGCTCAGTATGTTACTAGCGAGTCGTCAGATACGATCAACCTGTTTGTTCGCTGAGAGTAGCAGCATGTATATATATTCCGCTGTGCTCCACGTATCTCTCCCCAGAACAACGACAACTATTACACTTACATTTCCATTACACTACACTGCCAACATCTCAGCAATCTACTGCCGGTCAGTAGCTTACTCATATACCCTCGAACTAATCGAACACTCGCACACTCGAACACTCGAACACAAAGATATCCCAACGTATACCTAGTCAATCACTATGTCGACCAACGCCGCCAACGAACCCTATCCAAGCCATGTAAAGAATGCAACTACAAACGGTGAAAAACGGGCTGAGGAAATCGTTGCTGCAAATCATTGGATAGTGGGACAGGTGAAAATGGACTTTATCCGACATTTCGCAACCTTTTGGGTCGCCCTTTGGAGACACAAGTTCGATACAGCCCGTGCAAATGGTACCCGAGCGAAAGGAAATTCGGAAGCCGAACTTCACCACATGCTCACGAACGTTTGCGACGCGGTTTGGCAAGGGCCACCCCCTCGAAATCTCTACATTCCAGGAACTCCTGGCACTCTTGGCGCTAGAGGGATGGAGCGTGGTGCCTATATTTATCCAACCCCAACATCTACCCGCCTTTTCACGAATGGAGAACTACTAAGCGACATGGTTCAAGATGCGTACGTGCGCAACGTCATGCAAGGTACTACGGGCGGTGTCGGGGCTATACAATCAGGTACTCTACAAACAAGACAAGCATCGTCAACACAACAGCTTGGGAATCAACATGTAGGGTATTCTACACAACCGCCACCTCAAGGTACTTCTGGTAGGGCCAGTCGCCAGGGAAGCCCTTATGACCTTGACGCCGAACTGGAAGGCATTCTCAATGATCCTGAAAATGTTCCTCAGCATTATCGTCGCAATGAAAATTCGGTGAACCCACCATCGAATTTTCCCGGAACCGCAAAAGCGTGGGGAAAAACACCCGCAAGCGGCCAGAGTGGTGCCTCTTCCAGCTCGTGGAGCGCACTTAACTCAAGAGTATCCAACAGTGCTCTACAAACTGGATCTCCCCTGCCACAGCCATATCCGCCACATTCTACAGCCTCTCATCATGATAGTTCACGTACACCACGAGTCAATGCACCAGCACCCACCAGCGGATACCGAGGTGTTCTACAAGCACCCACAGGCACACCACAACATACTATAGCACCTGCAGCGGGTGGTGGACGAGGCTACGGCCAAGGATCCGCCCATCCTAATCCTGTAAGTAGAGGTAGAGGCGGAAATTCTAGAGGGAGGGGGCGCGGGAGGGGGCGCGGGAGGGGACGCGGTACCTAAGGTTAAGATGCATGGTACACAGTACGTGGAATCGGAGATGGTATAAAGGGATTGCCGGCGGTGTTGTTCTTTCTTTGCGTGGGCGTTGTCTCTGGCATAATGTTTTGGGATTTGATTGCTTCCTTATTTACGGAACGATGGTTTACGGATGGACACGGTCGTCCGTTCTCTTTCCTTTGCTCATTGCGGTCGGTATATCGGATAGGCTTTCTGGAAAGGCCTTGTTCAACGGTGCGTGTTTATAGCGTGGGCGTTTCGGTATGGGGTCGGTGGTTTACGATGGTCGCGAGAACGAGTTCTCTACAGCGGGCGTGTTTATTGTATCGGAGGGTTAATGGTGGGAATGGAGAATGCGGACGTGTACATAACGAGACGAGAATATGAAAATACAAAAAAACGATGCAAGGGTGTTCATGCGCGGGGACTGATGTGGCGACGATGGCGCCGAGCGCATGGATGGTGGATGAAGAGTAGAAGGAAAGGCGGCCTCCGCAAAGACCAGCGATACGCAATACTAAACTAGTATGTTGGAAACGATACCACCGAGCAGTACGATCCACGCATCGGCGAACAACACACGCGATGATAAAGGAAAGAGCACCACGATGGTGGTCGGAAACGTGACGCGTCGATGCCACGCTAGGAGCTTACGTCATCAACCTCGGTGGTTCCACCATGAGGTCACAACCTCATTCCGCAACCTCATGCCACACCCTCATCCCTCATTGCACAGCCCTATTCCATAACGAAGGACAGAGTGCACCTTTGACTCACACTGGGGCCTAGTCATGGCTAGACCTCATCACGCAACCCCACCCCACAGGCACGTTCCTCATCCCACAACGAAGGACAGAGCGCGCCTTTGACTCAGACTGGACCTGATCTTGGTTCAACCTCATTCCGCAACCATGATGCCGATCATCATCATCGTCGGCACGCGTACCCAACGCGAACACCACCGCCACACCCAGCGGCAACCCATATATTCGGATTTTGATGGTTTTCAGACATAACTCGTTTATCTCCCATTTTCGAGACACGATGACAGCGCCATCTACGTAACATCGTACGTGTTTAATGATGAGGAAGATCAGACGCGAGCAAGCAGGAACATGTAGAGTTTCTCAGTGGAATTTGGAAGGAAAACATCATTTTGTGAGCCAGTGGTTTCGGTCACTCGCAGCTGCGAGATGACAAAGGAGGTGGAGAACGCGTGAAAGATGACGGGTTTTATACTCGAGCACCACATCCGACGCTCTCGTCGTAATTTTCTTCGTTGTCAAGTTTTGGTGAAGCGCAGGCGAAACGCGCAGGACATGGGCTTTTTCGTTTGTGCTTTTGACATCGGAAGTGTTGTCCCAGGTCCACAGACGCACACATGTCAACTCCGACCAGAGTTTTCTAGAACGCCATGGCTGACAATAGTTGCGATTTATATGTAAGATCTAGAAGGCAGAGCGAGCGCACACCATGCGGTCTACCGTTCCACTTTTTTGATCGACACATGAACCTGTGCCGTGATTTTTTAAAGGAAGGAAAGGAAGAAGAAATTGGGACAACAAACTTCCCACAGTCTCGATCAAAGCTTTATACCCGCCATCAACGCCAGCCTCGGCCGTGGACCCAGCGTAATCGAAACAGCACACATCATCATTCTGTGGAAGCGTTTTGGAAGAAGATTTGCATCAACGCGCGGGCAAGTCCACAGCACATCGCGATGTGAACCATGTTTTTCAGATACCGACATTTGAGCGCCTCAAATAGCTTTTGGTTCAAGAGGAGAACAAAGCGCGCAGCATAACTCGTCGATTTCATATTTTTGGTCTACCAGGCCAGCAGATCACGGCGATGTCTTCGACAATTTTTGGAACGTGACCCAAGGAAAGAAGGATGTAAGATAACAACACCTCTCTCAAATTCGACGTAGATATAAGGGGGAGAGAACCAGACGAGCACATTGGAGCTTTGATCTCTATTTTGGGTTTCAGAACATCCATAATATTGTCATGACTTTTTCGTGTTTCCGACAGCATACAGCTATCTGGCGTCACTTTTTGGTTGCCAGCGTCAGAAAGATTAAGAGGAGAAGATCTCTATTCTGCACATGCGGGCAAGCTTCTAGGCATTTTGGAAAGAGGAAGAAGACCGAGAGACGGACATGTCACTCTGCACTTTTATGTTGGAGAAGGCACATAGACTTGCGCAACATCCTTTTGAACAAATGTCTGGTAGGTGGATGTGTGATGAAGAAGAAGATGTGGTGCGAAGGGTGGGTTTATATATGCGTCCACGGTCTACCATGTCACGTGCATCGGTCTCTTGACGGTGATGGCGGGAATGAGTTAGCAAGTCCAGATCCCAAAGAATAAGGACGCAGAGAAGCATGACCAGTTCATCAACGCGCATTGAAGGTATCAAGAGTTGATTAGCAGGAGGTATTCCTCGAAGTCAATTGATCGGATGTCTCAGTCGCTGCATAGTCTGATGCCAAAAGAAGTCCCAGATACCCATTTTCGCACGCAAAACCCAACTTTTGGAAAGGTCAAGAGTAAAGCATATCAAGAAGTCGACCGCCCAAGTCATGTCCAGCCTGCTGCCTCGGCTGGCACCAAAACTCATGAGTATATCGCAACGCCTTTTGTTGGCCACTATTTCCATGAAACGATCGCAGACAACCCCGCAAAATCCGAAAGCCAAACCCATACCCGAAATCATCGCCCGATGGACATGCACGCGTCATCCAGCATTCATCGCAGGTATGCCAGAAGTCTAGTCATCGCTTCACGCCCTTCTCCAAGAGCTCGTCAAGCGGATATTCAGGGCTCGCCGCCGTGCGCGCCATACACGTTATGCTCATCCGCACACCACACCTAAAGCTTCAACGGCTTCCTGTAGAACGGGCCGCGGTAGTTCTCAAGACCGCCCTCACAGTCCACCCCCAGGAACGGAGACCCATAGTCATTTTTCAGGAACCGCCTGTCCTTCTGATCGACATGCACTCCCTCTTTCATCGCCGTCTCGGATAATCGACCGTTAGCACATGCGATATCCAGCTTTTGCGGGCCCAGCTTCTTCAGTATGTTGACGTATATTTCCTTGAGGCGGAGAACTTCCTCGCGCTGACGACAGTATTTGAAACCGTAGTCCCGTTGGAGACATGCGGGCGGTTCGTCATCAACTGGATCCTGGATGAACTGCCGAAGACGCCAGACGGTGGAGCGCTTGCGTGGTGGTGTGGTGAGGAACGTCTTGAGGAAGGGAAACAAGTCTCGGAAATGGCTATATTCGTACTTATCGAATAGCCTGACGATGGAGTTCGTTTCCAAGGCAGTCTGTAATTCACGGAATGCTGCTTCGGGATCTTTGGCTTCCTTGAGTAGTGCGACGTACAGCCCTGCTAGCTGTCTCTCTTGCTCCTCGTCCTTGGCGGTCACGAAGCCAAATGCGTACCATGCGGTTGTGTCTGTTGGAAGTAGCCTCTCTCTCAGTATGGTGCCGATTAGTTGCGCCGTTTCTTGTTTGGTTGCGGGTTGCAAGGAATGGAGAGCGAGACCCCGATCTTGTTGGTTCAGGTAAGGCTGCACCGCGGTTATCAGCGGACCGAGGTTGGTGGGGGCTGGCTGAGGAGGGGGAGGGGGAAGAGGAAGTGGAAGAGAGGGTAGGATAGGAGCTGTAATTGCCGTTTCGATCGCTGTTACTTCGTACCGGTGCATCCGCTTCGACTTCTCCTTCTGGAGTGGTGAGGACGGCTTGCTGACGTTTGGCTGCGTCGGAATCGCCAGAGGAGTGGCGAACGACACACTCTTTACCGGCGACTGAGGCCTCAAGTGGAAGTTGACCTTCCTAAATGTCTGCGAAGATCTAGCAGCCCGAATCAAGGTGCTGTAGACACGTTCGGGGAAGCCGAGGGTGCAGATGAGATCGAACAGCTTATTGGCGAAGTGAATCTTTTCAAGGATGTACCTCATTCGATCCCGTAAGTTGAGAAGTGCCCTCGTTATGGTTGAAGCGAATTGGACGAGCTTATTCAAGTCTCTCATTGAGCCATCGAAAGCATGGACGTCGTGAGATAGCCTGATGATTTTATCACCAAGTTCTCGATCCATCATAGAGCCTTTGGTGTTAGCGTCATCAATGCCGAACATTCTCGTAACGAGCTCTTCAAACGTATTCCGGTTCTCGTCGAAAGTCTTTTTTATACTTCGTATGACTTGTTCGACTTTATTGTAGTTGGCGATGAGAACAACATCCCATAGTTCTGAGCATGCGCGATCAAGTGGCGGCCCTAGACATGTTAGCGACGAACGCCTGTACTCAGGTGTAGCATACCAGAAGGATGCATCGCAACAGCGGCCAGCCCATCTTCGAGCTCGCGCACAAATTTCCACAGTCCTTCATCGAGCGCAATGTTTGGCCGCCGCGACTGTTTGTCTCTCGTCAAGAAGATATCCATGACGCTGACGTTGGGTGCCTCTCGTATGTTCGCTGCGGTGCCTAGCATCTTCGATAGGCGCCTCAAAAAGCGGTCCTTGAGGCTTAACGGTATGCCTAGTCCTTTAGTTGGTATGATGCCAGTCGAGTCATCGATGAGATCTTCCTCGACGAAGATGCCATAGGGACTTTCTTCGCAAGGTTCATTCCGAGCCGCTACGCTTGCTGGTTGCTGCAGTCGTGAAGCCATGATCCCGAGGTACTGAGTATGCTTCTGTTGAAGTGGGGCGTAAGTCCGAGATAAGGTGAATTATCGTTAGGAGTAGAGGTTAAGTGCTTGGAGCGGCGCCGTCTTAGTAACGACCTATATCGCCAGTCAGTATACACCTTTCTCAAAGTGTATCGAAAAAGAAAGACTCACCGCTTTTTTGCGCAGCCTCTTCGAGCGCACAACTACGTCGTAATTACTGTTCCTCTCGTCCGGGACAACTTTTCCGCTCGAACGTGGCCGACTTTCCGACTAGATAGATAGATAGATCGTGAGGAGGGTTACTCCATAAGTTTTATCGCAGACGATTGTGCAACAAGGCTTGCTTTTGAGTACTTTCTGAGTGTGGTGCAAGAGATACGGAGATCCAGGCTGAGACGTTGATATAGACGAAAAGCGGTGACTGAGGCGGCTGCCTTTACCTTAACCTTGCGTTGTCGACGAGAAGCATGACGTAATGCGCTCGCAATGTATTGGTAGGAGGACCGCGATAGGATAGCCAGAGGCGGAAGGTAAGAGAGCGGTATAACGCGGGGCCATTCTAGGTCAATCTGGCGCGTTTGACTCCGGAAAGAGCAGGAGGGAACGGGAAGAACCAAGATGACGGAACGAGAAGACGGTGTGAGGAAAGAGCGAAAGAGCGAGTTGCACTTGAAGAGCTTCTTACATGGTTCTTACATTGAACACAAGGAAACAGAAAAGACGCTGCAAGCGATGCTAATACAACAACAATCAAGCCGCGCCGATACATACGATACTATACAACCATTTCAGCCCGCCTACCCAGGCATTGAGGCCAGTACAGATTGGAGGTGACACAACAGCAGCAATACTACAACCACCACCTCTCCACCTCTCACCACCATCCCATCTACCCCCCAAACCCAAACACCTCCGCCGTACTCAACATACTCATCCTAGTCCCCCACAGCGCAATAACAATCAACACCACATCCACAACCAACAACACCACAGCCCCAACCATGAACCTAGGACAAAAGATCCTATAAAGCATAAGATGCCTCCTCAGATGCCCCGCCCACATCGTCGTCGCCAGATTAACAGTCGCATAAAACAGCACATGCGTAGCCACCGCCTTCGTCACCACACTAAGCAGACCCTTCTTCTGAGGCTTAACCTTCCACAGCACACACGCCGGCACCGCGATAGCGCAAAGAATCTGTGCGCCGAAAGTGTTGAGGATGACGATGATGGGGGTCCATGGGTAGCGTATCTTGGTCAAGGGGATGAATGCTGATTCCCATTGGATGGAGGAGAGAGTGGCTTGGTGGCCTGTCTTGAAGAAGTGGAAGGAGCCGAGGAGGCCGAGGACGACGGGGCCGATGGCGGATTGACGCAGGTTGTTCGTGTCGATGATTTCGAAGAGGGAAAAGAGTTGCCAGACTAAGATGCCGATTGCACCTGCGCCCATGGGTTTCTGCAACACGGCGACGGCGAGGTACCAGATGGTGATGAGGAGGGCGTAGCGCGAGCCGTGGACGTTTGCGAAACCGTGGATGATGACTTCTTCCTTGGGGGCGCCGTTTTCGTCGACGCCGCCGTCTTTGTTGATGATGACGTTGAGGAGCGGCTTGGACCAGTTGTAGATTGAGTAGCCAAAGGCCATGCTGATGGCGAGGACGATCTGGGCGAGGAAGCGCTTGGTGATGCGGATGATGTTTTCCCAGCCGGGGGCCCATTCGCCGTCGTCGGCGGCGTCGAGGGCCCAGTATGCGGCGGACATCATTAGGCCGAAGCGCAGTGCGAGACCTATCCAAAGGGTCGCGTAGTGCTGGTAGCTCTTGGTGCCGTCGTAGTAGCTCTTGATGAACGTGGGGATGAGGATGGCCGCGGCGACGGGTATGGCGAGTTGCCACGGTGCTGATGTAGTGGACAGAGCGGATCCATAGTATGTGGACTTGCAGTATGGCATCTGCTCTTCTCTGCACAGTCTCGAGAAGCTAGCAACCCGGAGCAAGATGGTGAACAAGATGGAGTGGTAAGCGCCCAGAGTCCGGTCTGAAATACTCTTTCGACGGAAGGACGAGATAAGCGCAAGAACACCAAAGGTGGTTAGGAAGTACAGGAGAATCTCGTCCTCCCAGATGGTGAATGAGTTGGCTGCGAAGCCGCCAGAGAGCGCAAGAGTGAAGATGACACTCGTCCATCCCCAAATGCTATTTGGCATCGGAGGCATGAGGCGGTAACTCAGCGAGTAGAAAGTAGAAGCGCAGCCTACGATTCCAGTGAGAGCAGAGGAGAGGACAAGGACGTGCGACTTGGCGTCTACTGGCATGAAGATGGTAAAGCCGACACCAACGATACCTCCAAGAACCAGACCAATGGCGCCTCGGGTGAAGAAAACGGGAGTGACGTCGGCACGATCGCCATGGAGGATTCTAGCGTAGAGTGCGACTACGATCAGACTGGCGGCCAAGACTGTGACACCACTGACCATCCTAGGGACGTCGAATCGAGCCCAAAGGTCGCGGCAGATGCGGAGCGTGTCGCGCTGGTAGGCACCGAAAGCCTCGTACGCCTGGCGCATCTCGTCACTGTTGGCCTTGGACTTTCCGAGTGAGTTCCACGCGTCATTTGCGTTCTTCCAGAAGGCAAGCGAAGAAGCCCTTGCGCTATCAGCAATGCCTCGAACCTTGGCGTATTCATGCTGGTAGTTGTGGATTTGCGCAGCTGTCAGACGGTTGACGGTCGCCAAGTTCTTGTAGTCAGCGCCGTCCTTGCCGATGAAAGCCTCTTCGATAGGTTTTCCAAGGTTGTTGAAGGGTATGGGCATGCCCAGAAGAAGCGAGAGAGTCGGGACTAAATCGATCTGTCCAACTGGCCGAGTCTTTGCGTTGGCTGGAGGCGCGACATAGGCAGGGTTGCTGCGCCCAAATATACCCTTCTTCGAGTACATCCACAGCGCAGCCTGGATCTCATCATCCGACTCTCCGCCATGGTCACCCTTTGCGTCCATACCGTGATCTCCCATAACAACTAACAGCGTGTCGTCATCAATGGTCCTAATCATGCGCTGGAAAACCTTGTCCATCTCGCTCAACTTCGCGGCCATGGCAGGGTGATCGGGTCCGTAACGGTGTCCAGCATGGTCCACGCCCAGATAGTGACCGAATATGACATCCCATTTGTCGGCATTCTCAGCCTGCAACAGTGGGAAAATGTGCTCACTCACGCCATAGTCAACGGTGTGTAGATCCCAGACGTTGAACGAATCGTACGCGTGCGTGAGGTTCGGCTCGAAGTAGTCCGGGAAAAGAGCGTGCCATGTGTCGTCACCGAGGTGAACCATCCTCTTGCCCGCATTCTTCAATTGTCCAACCAAGTTATCCTCAAGAATTTCCTGGCCCGCAAAGTTGCTGCCCACGTCGATGAAGGTGGGCAACGTACCCGTTGTGAGCCCCTTCAACCTCTGCATCGTGGCCGTCGGCGGGTCAGCGATGAAGGGCAAGAGGAACGCGTTCTGAGGCTGGTTCCTCGCCGTCTCGTATAGCACGGGGAAAGCATTGTGGAAATGGCGCGGGGCGATTGGAGGGGCTTGGGACGGGTTCTCGGCTTCGACAGCGAGATCGACAGGTTCGAATTGTTCGGGGAAGGGCACAGTGAAGTCATATCGCAGGGCGTCGACGATGATGACGACTGCTTTGTTGAATGTCTTCGGGTGCCAGCACCCCTTTTCCGCGTCGCCCGGTGTGTACGCGTTCGCGGAGTCGATTGGGGGGAGGGCGCATTCTGACTTGTGGTCGAGCACCAATCGCGTGAGAAGGAAGCCGCTGGTGAAGAGGTAGATACCGAGAATGTGGAGTATTCTGGTAACCGTTAGCGATGCATGTCTTGGGGGGAAAGCCCGGAGAGGGCTGAGATGGAGAAACCTACAGTATGAAGGTAAAGAAAGCGACAATGATGCCATGAGCGGCCTTAAAGTGCACCTGCCCAAGCCTCTTCGCCTTATCAGGGTCGTGTACAGCCGTCCGCTGACCTTGCGACGGCTGCTGCTGTTGTGGCTGTTGCGCCGGCTTCTGAACTCTGGGCGCGGTGCTCCGGCCGGCGGTGATGTCGGACAGAGGCGTGAAGACCTCGCCGTTCTCCATGACGGATGGAGAGGGGTGGCCAATTGGCGCTTAGCAAATGCCAAATGGAGATTCAATGGGATTCAGATGGCTGAAGAGGCCTCAAGGAGCGACAGAATCCATGGGAAGAAAGTTGATGCGCTGTTTACAGAAGTGAGGATGTGTCGCAAGCATCCACAAGTGGATCACCCATTTCGCCGAGCCTCCGATGTCATGCATCCGCCATCGAGGTACGCGCCTCGCGCCCGTCGCTAGCTGTGCTTGGGACTTGTAATACGAGCCTTGACATCATGCCTGCATGCTTCCCGTTCGTACCAGAATACCCAAAGACCCTGCATGGGCTGGTTCAATCACGTCCACTTCACGTCACGATCAAATGCACGCGTTTTGTATGTCTTGACAAAGGATTGTATTGGCTCTCATGCTGCTCTGAGCAGTCGCTAGAGAGTGAGTTGTATATCATACATTAGTGAATAAGAGTTATGTAAGAGGTGTAGAAACCTCGTTGAAGAGATGGCCAATCATCAGGGGGTATACAGCAAAATGGCCAGTCAACTCCGAGAATATACATAAATGGTGTGCCCTGCCGGCTATGCCACAGCTTCAGCAGGAACGGAGAAGCTGACAATCAGCGCGGTATAGCCGTCATCAAGGGTAGTCGGTCGTAGCCAAGTGGCTGGGAGGCCCGGGCTGCTAGACTTTTCGTAGCAGCAGTCTAGCCGGGTGTTGAGAGTTGGTGTCATGAGATTCATGAGTAGTATTTGTCGTCCTTCTCCTTCAGTCCGCCCATGCGATCCAGGTCGAGCGAGTCGAAGCGGTCTGATGCGTCGCGCTGGTAGGCTGGGAGGTCCTCTTGTACAGGCTCCAGTCCGACACTGTGGTCTCCAACGCGAA